AAAATCGTGATCAGCAATGCAATGATTGGCTGATGGCGCAGCAGAGTAATGACATCATCTGATTAATATTCAATTATTCATGCGAGCAAAATTATTAAAAGTTCATTGTAAACTATTTGTTAAATATTATACGCAATAACTTTCAGCATTTGTGGTGAGCTGCAGCCTTTACACTTTCATGAGCCAAGAATATTTAGCAATTTATTTAGCTTTACATTTAGAGCAGATTTTCTTTATTAAATTAGCCGAGGCCTATTCAAGTTTCTTAATCGGCGTAAGCAATAACTGGCTGTTTAGATTAATTTCGCATCAAAAAAAAGGATTTTGATATTGATAATGGTGGATGCAACTTTTGCAAAGCATCAAATCACTGTCATATTATCTGTCAAAACATGTACATGACTAAAATATTATTCCTTTAAAAAACTGTTGAATATTGTGCATGTCCATTATCATACACAAATTGTACTAAAGCCGTTACCTACTACGTGATTGCGTCTAAAACGTCCATATTAATAAATGTTCTCCTTCAACCCATTGCATAGGTTTTGTTCATATAAATAAAAGTATTACATTAGATTAAGTATTACCTTTGCTTGAAATGACTCGATCTAATCCTGTTTATATGAAATAAACCTGCTCCAGAGCTACCAGACCTAACTCTCAGACGAGTTTTGAAGAACAATCCTAGATCATCAATAACCAAATCCAGCTAATTGAGTAATCCAAGTTCGAAGAACAGACCCCTGGACCACAAATCCAGTCTGTGTTGTATACAGTAGGTATATTCATGGAAAAAAGTAAAAAAAATGCATTGTATTGGTCAAAATTATAGATTTTTTTTCTTTTATACTAGAAAATTTTTTGAATGTCAAGTAAATATCATCTCCCGTTAAGACATTTTGGAATGTCTTCTTGTAAGTATATAAAAATGTATTTTTCGATTAGTTGCACTGGAAAGAACTTAATTTGAACAATTCTAAAGGCGATTTTCTCATTTGCCATTTTTTTTGTTTTTTTTTGTTTGTTTTTTTTTGAATGCTCAGATTCCACATTTTTAAACAGCTGTATCTTGGCCATGCATTATTCTATCATATTATCTTATTTGTTCTGTTTACAAGTGATTTCATAAATCCAATAATTGACACTTATGACTGGTTTTGTGGTGCAGGGTCATATATGTTTTTCAGTTAATTATTGTATTGCATTTTCACACCAAAAAGTTGTTTATTATCAAAGTCCCTTTAAGATAAGTCCTTTTACTCTGCGGCCATATTTGAAACACCTTTCGGGCTGTATGCTCTAATGGGGAAACGTCAAATTCTCCAAAACTGTTAGCCAAGCTTAAGATTACATTACATATTTAGAATCACCAATAAAATTATATAACAACTGTCTCATAAATTTCGTTTGTAAACCTTCGAATCAAACAAAATCAGCATTTTTTTCACTCAGAAGGAGCGAGGTCATGAAACCAACCTCATTAATGGCTGTTGTACACATTATCATCCTCTGGATAATGCTGTCAGATCATGCTGGTCTTCTAAAGCAATTCACAACTTGGTCTTGATGGTGAATCTCCTCCAGAAATGAAAATGACGCTGTTTACAAGTTTGTGAGAGTAGTTGCTGCTGCCATGTGATGTGCTTTTGATAGGACGCTCTGTACTTTGCGTTCATTTCATACAGATTACAAAACCAAAAAATTTTGTTTTGCACTTGGGTTCATTTAAAAGTAGAGATTTCTAGCTTTATGTGGACATATTTCTTAGTCTGTGAAGCAAGTATTCGCTGAGATTCCAGTGTGTTTGGTGACCACCAAACTTTAGTTAAAGAGCATGTCTGATCTGAGTTTCTATTCGCCAATCTATAACAATCAATAATTGGTCATATTGATCTTTACGTTTTTCCCCATTTAAACTATACGACTGATATGTCCTGTGTAATCTATAGTCTTTGTTTTAGTAAATCCATATTTGGGTATTTTTCATTTTTGTAATTTAAATGACTAAATATTTTAGTGGGTATATTTGTTTGTAATTACTATATAGTACTAGCTATATAGTTTTATTTTTTTATGTGATTACTGAATTAATTCTACTTTTTTTCTTTTTTTCTTTTATTTATTTTTATTGGATTACTGAATTAATTCTACTTCATTTTCTTTTTTTCTTTTATTTATTTTTATTTGATTACTAAATTAATTCTACTTCCTTTTATTTTTTTCTTTTATTTATTTTTATTTGATTACTGAATTAATTCTATTTCCTTTTCTTTTCTTCTTTTTCCTTTTTTTTTCTTCTTAGAAAAACAAAGCTGTCCCCTTTAAGTGTTTCATAAATATTGCACAACAGGGCAAATACAAACAAACAGGCAGGAGAAAGTGAGAGGAGCAACCAGATACCTCTAAACAGCAACTGTCTCCACGCTGCTCTCCTCTCGGCTGGGGGAAACTCCCACAAGCTCCGTCCTATCAGTCAGATAAGAGTTACTGAGCTCCTGGGGCATGTTTTAGCTCCGCCATGCGACTCTAACAAACATAGAGCTGTCGCTGAGCAAAATGAAGAAGGCACAAAACATATTCAGACACTCATCAACTGCTTGTAAATCCGTTTGTACAAACTAACACTTTTAAAAGACTTCAGATTTAAGAGGAAGCAGAAAAGTTGAGTCATATTTCTGGTGCAAGTTGGATGTTTATTTGCAAGAGGGTTTGACTCCTGAAGACGCAGATACCTAAACAACAAAAATCCCTGGCAAAGCCTCAGTTGACAGTGCAGTACCTGCCGGCCGCCACACCCTCGCCCAGCTCTGGTGTCAGGAATCTCCCTTCACTTTACTTGGAAAGCATACAGCAATAGCCTACAGTTTTCATTTAGAGAATCTTCACTCATGTATGTCACAGGTCTAGTGAGTACCTTTTATTCAGATATGAAGCCAGCTTTTTTTTTGTAACCGTTCTTTCTATGGTTCATAAAAGCCAAAGTGGCATCTTGCCTTGAATACATTGAGCTTTGGTCATGTCTTTTGGCACACACAGCACTGTGAAGAAGTTTTTGATCACTAGTGCATTTTGTCATTTTATCAATGGAATAATGATCGTATATAACTATCTCTAGTTGCATCCGAAATCACACACTTCCATACTATACAGTATGTTAAAACAGAGTAGTTGGTCAGAATTTATTAGGTGCGTACCATATCGCATAATTATGCACTATTCTGTGCCATTTTGTAGTATATGTTGTATAATTAGCGCATCACACTGAAATATTAGTTTTATTCTATAAAGAATAAAGGCACTTTATATACCCAGATGACGTACTTATTTAACCGTAAAAGTATGTGTGTGATGTTGGACACGTCACGCACTCAATGGTTGCAGCTTTGCTCACATAGCGAAATGGGCGGAGCTATCAGGCACTGAGGTTGGATTACTTTGTTTATTTTGGATTGTGAAAGCAAAATTCTCCTAAATGAGTGATTATACCTCTTCCCAAAGGTGAATGTGGTTATACTCATGCTAGGTACTATTTAATAATTTGGTCATTTGTTTCACTAATTTGGCAACTGTCAAAACATCATCAGTAAAACAGTTTGAATTTCTGGTTAGTAAAATACTATTAGTGTTCCAAGTGGGACAACACTATATTCATTTACTACACTACCAGACAAAAGTCTTGTCGTCTATCAAGGTTTTAAGAACAACAAATAATAATTTGACTTCTAGTTGACCATTTGGTATCAGAAGTGGCTTAAATGAAAGGCAAAGGCCTTTAGATTACACTTATTTTACCAAAATAAAACATGAGCATGGCTTGATTTTTTAAATTATTTTATTAGGACAGTAAGGTCTGACTTTACTTAGACAAAAGTATTGTCACTTAACAGAAATAATGTACAGTATAGAATATGAGTCATGTTGCAGTGGAAAAAGATTTAATATTTTGTTTGACTCCCATGAGCTTGGAGGACTACATCCATACATCTCTGCAATGACTCAAATAACTCATTAATAAAATCATCTGGAATAGCGAAAAAAGCGTTCTTGCAGGACTCCCAGTGTTCATCAACAATCTTTGGATTAATCTTCAATGCCTCCTCCTTCATATTACCCCATAAATGCTCAATAATGTCCATGTGTGGTAATTGGGCTGGCCAATCCTGGAGCACCTTGACCTTCTTTGTTTTTAGGAACTTTGATGTGGAGGCTGAAGTATGGGAAGGAGCACTATCCTGATGAAGAGTTTCCCTCTCCTGTGGTTTGTAATGTAATGGACAGCACAAATGTCTTGATACCGCAGACTGTTGGTGTTGTCATTCACTCTACAGATCTCTTGCAGGCCCCCATACTAAATGTAACCCCAAACCATGATTTTCCCTTCACCAAATTTGACTGATATCTGTGGGAATCTTGGGTCCATGTGGGTTCCAATAGGTCTTCTGCAGTATTTGTGATGATTGGGATCAACAGATGAGTCATCGGAAAACTTACCACCTGCCACTTTTTAAGTCAAGTTATTATTTGTTGCTCTTACAACTGGGATCAACGACAAGACTTTTGTCAGGTAGTCTAGGTATCTCGCCCCCATCAGCAAACTTACAGATTGCCATGAAAAAAATGTTTTGATTTTATGCGTCTGTATCTATGGAGACGGAGGCGGGGTTTTGTCTCTTATAGCTTCGATTGAAACTATACATATTTTCTGAATTTCAGCAATTTTCAGCCCACAAACAGGCTGCTCACAGTTGATCCATGCCAAATATGCTTAGTCAGATTGCAAATCAGCATTGTTTCATGTATAATTTATTCACTGCTGTTATGTCACTGTATTTGCTTGTTACGAGAGCCGTATCTAATGCTTCTGAAACCACATAGTCTGTTGTCCTCAGATCAATATTCCTTCAGATGATACGGCTTGATGTTATGTAACGTTTTCTACTGCGCATTTAATGTTCCTGTTAAAGGATCTGTTTGTGTTTCTGTCATTGTTTTTGCAGACTCATCTTGATCATCTTCTGTGAAGGAAGTCTGGCCAGAATTGGAGGTGTGAGCTTTTCTACTCCTTTTTTTTTTCTTCTTCTTCTTAGTGGTTTGAGGTGTGAATATGTCAACAAAGACTTTGAGGCTTTGAGTTGCTTCTATTTAATAAAAGCTCAGAATAAAGAGTACATTGTAGATATTAATGAGATGAAATAATGGTTGATTAGCATTTGCTTATGCTGGTAAATGCCATATGTTTAAAACTACAGCATTATATTATAGCTATACAGATATGATATACATTAATAATATTTTTGGTGGAAATTGGAATTTTATATTATTATATTATATTTTACATTGCATTGCATTTATTATAGATATGTTAACAGCATATACTAAACATTAATAGATATTTAAAATGAAAATGTTAGTGTTACGTTAATATTAAACTCAGAATATGACTGATATTGTTTATTAGATCTAAATATTTTGTTGTAATAAAATCCTGCATCTCATTTTTGGTGCTTAAATATTATTACAACTATTAATATTTAATTTTATTTCTAAATATAATATAGATTTTTATATTTTTGTAAAATTATGACAGCTATTCACTAAATATTTAATAAAAGCATTGTAAAATTATTACAAATATTTATGTGTGTGTGGTAAATAAATACATTTCTAAATAATGTACATAAATACATAAAAATAATTATTAAAATAATTGTTTTAATAAATAATGTATTTCATTTTGTTCATGATGCCTAAATTTTACATTTATAATATATATATATATATATATATATATATATATATATATATATATATATATATATATATATATATATATATATATATATATATATTATAATTAATATACTAAACTATTAGTATTTTCTAAACATTATGATTGTAAAACAAATTACAAAATCAATATGCATGTTAAATTGTATTGAATGTCATAGAAAAGAGATCATATAAATATCCCTTGTTGACCATTTATGTTAAATATTGCGTCTTGCATCTTGCAATTATTTAACATATTATGAATATCATAAAATATTACTTTTAATTCCTAAAATCTTCAAGTAATTATTTAAAACATAATTAATTTTATATTTAATTTTATGAATTTTATTGTGGTAAATATTATTGAATTTATTATAAATTGTACCAGTTCATGTTATTATATTCAAAATAAAAAATATTTAACAAATTATTAATATAATAAAATATTACTTTTTAAGGCATAAAATATTCAAGTTAATATTATTACTATTTTACAGACATAAAAAAACATAATTTAAATTATTTAAAATGACATTTTCTTATGTCAATGTTTTTTCATAAATATGGTATTGACATTATTTTATTAAACACTCTTCATTATATATTATAAATAAATGCTATTATTTGTACATTAAAAACCCAATTAAAATGTAAATTCATTACGTTAAATGTTATTGAATCTATTATAAATATGCATGGTATTGGCATGATTTTATTAAACCCTATTCATTTTATATCATAAATAAATATTACTGCCTTTACAAGGCACATAAAAGCATCAAATGTCTTGATATTTTTCCTTACCTATTAAAAAGGCATTACCAACATAGTTCATTATTAATTATATATACATACATAAAAAACGGTCACATTTATATATATATATATATATATATATATATATATATATATATATATATATATATGTTTTTTATCATTATTTAATAAACACTCTTTATTTTATATAATAAATACATATTGCTATCATACAAGGCTCATAAAAGCATGTACTGATACTTTATCTCACCTATTACTATTTTAAAGACATTAAAAACAGGATTAAAATGATTTAAAATGTACATTTATTGTGTTAAATGTGATTGAATCTATTGTAAATGTGGCTGATATTGACATTATTTTATTAAACAATCTTCATTTTATATTATATATAAATGTTGCTGCTTTACAAGCCACATAAAAGCATCAAACATCCTGATATTGTGCCTCGCTACTGCTGTTAATATCTGCTGTTATTAGTAAGAGCCTGTTCTTGTCAGCATTGTCAGGATGTTATTTTCCCGCAGCTTCAGAGGGATTCGTCACATGGCATTTACAGCTCAGAAAAACCTCTTTGCATTTAGTTCTTTTGGTTTCCAGGCTCCAGATCCACTGACAGCTCTGCTAAATCCACAAGCTGCAACTGCCGGCTGTGTACTGTATTAGAGGAGAAGTGGGAAAAGTTTCTTTCAACATCTATTTTTTCAGCACAGTGGAAAACTTCTGGCATTTGTATATTGTATTTGTCGGGTTTTGCCATCCTTTCGTCTCCTCCTGGAAGCTGGTTTCAAGTGGTGTTTTAGAGTGCTGATCAAATGAATCTAGCACCATTTGAAATCAGTGTTCTTGGGGTGAGAAATGCAGCACTTTTTTTTCTTAGTAAAACATTTGATCTCTTCCCTGACTTCAAGACCTGTGTCCTCTACCCAAGGTTGACCGATTTCTTTTGGTGTTCAGAGTCTTTTGGGGTTTCTAGCACCATTTGAAATCGGTTACAATGAAGGACCAATGACGACGATGGATTTATTTATTTATTTTTTTGAATGTTGTTATCATTTATACATAAAATGTTTAACATTCCTTTTTGGGTCTGTTTTGACCTATAATAGACACATACACTCACCGGCCACTTTATTAGGTACACCTCACAAGTACCAGGTTGCCATTGACATGATGCTTAATTAGTAATTATGTGCTCAAAGTGTGCAAAAAATATCCAATTACCATATCCAAAACACCCACACCATTACACCACCACCAGCAGCCTGAACGGTTAATACAATGCAGGTTGCATCCATGCTTTCATTATGTTGATGCCAAATTCTGACTGTACCAACCGAATGTCGCAGCAGATATCGAGATTCGTCAGACCAGGCAACGTTTTTCCATTCTTCTATTGTCCAAATTTGGTGAGTCTGTGTGAATTGTAGCCTCAGTTTCCTGTTCTTAGCTGACAGGAGTGGCACCCGGTGTGGTCTTCTCCTGCTGTAGTCCATCCGCCTCAAGGTTTGACATGTTGTGCGTTCAGAGATGCTCTTCTGCATACCTCAGTTGTAATGAATGGTTATTTGAGTTACTGTTCAGTTACTTTCTATCAGCTCGAACCAGTCTGGCCATTCTCCTCTGACCTCTGGTATCAGCAAGGCATTTGCACCCACTGAACTGCCGCTCACTGAATGTTTTCTCTATTTTTCAGACCATTCTCTGTAAACCCTAGAGACGGTTGTGCGTGAAAATCCCAGTAGATACTAAGACCAGGCCGTCTAGCACCAACAACCATGCCATGTTCAAAGTCACTTAAATCGCCTTTCTTCCCCATTCTGATGCTCGGTTTGAACTGCAGCAGATCGTCTTGATCATGTCTACATGCCAAAATGCATTGAGTTGCTGCCATGTAATTGGCTGATTAGAAATTTGTGTTAATGAGCAGTTAAATAGGTGTACATAATAACACATTCATAACACTTCAAACACATATAATCAATTATTTTTGACTGTAATTATGGCCTGTGAAATGAATGCAATTAGAAACGTCTTTAATTATCTGTATTTTATTCCTGTGTGAAAAACGTTCAGTGTTTTAGTAAATTGAATAATTTTAGCACTGAAATGTTTCAATTCAAACATGAACTAACTTTTTCTTTGAAAGTGAAAATGTATACAAGTAAAAAATATATATATTTTTAATAGTAAAATCTTTTCTCCGGGTGCTCCGTTTTCCCCCACAAGTCCAAAAACGTGGTATAGGTGAATTGGGTGGGCTAAATTGTATGTGTTGTGCATGTGTGACTGACGATGAGTGTATATGGATGTTTCCCAGTGATGGGTTGCAGCTGGAAGGGCATCCGCTGCATAAAACATATGCTGGATAAGTTGGCGGTTCATTCCACTGTGGCGACCCCAGATTAATAAAGGGACTAAGCCGAAAAGAAAATGAATGAATGAATAGTGAAATCTGTGTTGTTTTGTATAATTAAATAAGTTGGGGGCTGTTTTAACAACAGTGAGTTATAAGACAATAGGATTTGATAAAAATTCCATTCATTTCTATTTGCTGCATGTTCTTATAATTTAATTGGCGGTTCATTCTACTGTGGCGACCCCAGATTAATAAAGGGACTAAGCCAAAAAGAAAATGAATGAATGAATGAAATAGGACTTTGGACAGAAGAAAAATATAATAGGAAATACTTAGAAAATGTCCTTGCTCTGTTAAACATCACAAAAAGAATTCATAGGAGTGCTAATAATTTTGTCTTTTGAAAGGTTTCTCGATAATTTAGTAGTAACATGGTAAAATACAATAGTAAATGATAGTTTTCATTGTTTTAGAAAAATAAGGACCCTTGATATGAAAATAGTCTTATACAGATTTTGAAATCATAACGATGATTAATAATCTTATTCTGAGTAATTATTCAAATAAATCCGTAATACAATACAAAAAGTGGATATTTTATTGTACAATAATATGAATACAGTTATTATTTACAAACTTTACAGATAAACACAAAGATTCACTTCAAAACAGATTCTTCTTCGATCATTTCAAACGTTGAATTCCCACATCTTCTCCAGTTGTGTGAAATGTATAGCCATCTCTCCTGTGGACAGCAATGAATTCCTGTTCAATACCATAAAGAGCCGCTAGATGTCATGCTTGTGTATATCGTGTTTGTGTTCAGACACTCTTCACTGTGTAGGAAAATACAGGGTTCCACATAATTTGTTCATGTTGTCCCAAATAAATCAATTCAGTTAACCAAACAAAATTAAGTGGATTGAACATAAATTCAGTTTTCAGTTCCAAAACAAATCCCAAGAATTGTGTTGTTTCAGCTCATTTTAAATAAGTAGTTTAAACAAACAAGCAGCAACGCTAAAGTAGCACACTTTACATAAACCTAAGCCCTGTCAATAACTGTATTTTGTATGAAAATAGTATTATATATTATTTTATATTACTTTGCATTCATTATAAATATGTTAATGCAACTGAAAAAAAGGACTCATTGGATTTAGTTAAATGTTTTATGGTATGTGGTTGCAATCAATTTATATGAGTGGAATTTAGAGAAAAAAACTGAAATTTAGTAATGTTCAACCTAATATGTTTGTTTAAAATCGGCCTATATATAAATAGTTTGCTACCACTTACCTTAAAAAGAAAAGTAAATCCAGTTAATCTTTTTTATCGGTTTGGTTTATATCAAATTTGAATGAGTATGTTTTAAAATAAAAT